GGGGGTCCCTATCCACCCCACCCGTGTGAGGCTGTGACCTCTGGGCATCTCCAGAAAGGCTCACAGACACAGAAACACACACACACGCTGACACTGACTGCCCAGCTGGGGATCAGAGGGGAGTCCACACTGGGAGGAGGTGGGTAATACGGGGGAAAGAAGAGAAAAGCTGGAGGCAGTGGGGCCCATGGGGCAGGGACATCAGGATTCCTGGCAATAGCCCGCGACCCACACCATGGGGAGGATGACATGCCGGCTGAGATCAGGGGGTCCCCAAGGTGTCCGGGGGGATTGCCAGGAACTAGGGGAATATGGGGTCTGGGGTCCTGTGTCCACCACCTTGGGCCCGTGGAACTAGGAAGTGTGGATGGGGCTACGGCACAGAAGGCCTCAGCTTCCTCCTCCTAAACTGGGCTGCGTCGACAGTGTCCCAAGGGTCCCACAGGCTCATAGATGAGTCTGTGTCCTGGGATCTTCATCCCTGGCCCTCTGTTCTCCCCTCCTGGGAAAACGCTTCCTACTCCCTCAGGGTCCTTCTGAGCGGAGGGCAACCTGGGGGCTTGGAGGACCGAGGACCTGGGTTTGCAGAACGTGGCCAAGCAGTGGACCCCGTGTGGGGACCGAGGTCAAGACCCTCCTTGTTGGAGTCTCGGGTCCTCATTAGGAAGTGGTTCCCTAGGCAGCGCCGTGGCTGGGGTGAGAAGGACTCATTAGTGAGCTGAGCACCGGGCCAGGGGAGGGACACAGGCCACAAAGGAGGCTTCTGAGGGTTGTCACCTGGACCCTGGAGCCCACAGGCCCTGCTCCCGCGAGACACACAGAGACAGACAGAGTCCGAGGCAGAGACAGAGAATGGACCCACGAGAGAGGAAACCAGAAATTCCATGAATCGGCTCAGAAATGACACCCGGTCATCATGTTCTAGCCCTTAGAACCCAGTCACACGGGCCATCCACACGGGAGAGGACGGGGTGACAGAGGGACGTGGGATCAGGATTCGGGAAGGCTGGGAGACACAGTGGGGACCGCCCAGCACGGAGGCCCAGACCAGGCACTGGGACCAGAGCCCAAATGCAATGGGGCCCCTGGAGTGCGTGTCTGGTGGGCCCAGGGTCTGAATGAGTTCACCTCCACCTTCCCCCGGGCCTGGGACTCAGGCAGGAGGGGTGGCCGTGCCTGGACCCGGGGCAGACCCAGGCCCGCGTGAGTGTGTTCCGTGCCAGGCCCACCCCTTCCTCATCCTTCCACGCCCACGTGTGCCCACGAGCCTCCCGGGATAGCAGGCACGGGACGTGTCTACAGGTGGCTCCCTGATGGCAACCCTACAAGTAGATGCCACAAGGACCCCACTGTGCAGACGGGCAGACTGGGGGACCCCAGGAGGCACAGGGTGTGTGCGGGGTCCCAGCACCGGTCAGGAGGAAAACCCAGGTCTGAACCCAGCTGTGTGGCCCCAAAGCCGCGGCACCGGCCAGCCCAGGCCTCGCGGGGACGTTTCTGGGCTGTGTTGGTGTCACTGTAGGGACAGGGCATGGGGCGGAGGGGAGTCCTTTGCAGCCTGGGAGGGGCTCTTGTGGGAGCAGGAAGCCGGGTGAGGGGACCCCAGGAAGTGACCTCACCTCCCTGGTCACAGAGCCCAGTTGAACTCACAACCCGGGTCACCAGGCACCCACATTCTGGAGACAGCGCCCGACTGGGCTCATTCCTTTGGACATCTTCGCCTGACGGACATGTTCTCCTGTTGTGTGCCCGGGTCCCGCGGCTGCCGGCTCAGGGGAGCCCGTGGCAGCGACGCTTCCCGACCCTGGAGACAGTGGGTCAGGTCGTGCACAGGACGCCTCAGGTCTCTAGCTCGCAGGGACCCAAAGGTAACACAGGGAGACCCAGAGACATCCAGTCCAGCCCGACACCACTCTGATCTGACCTGTGCGGCCCCATGTCCCCCCACCCCCGGGTGTGTGTGTGTGTGTGTGTGTGTGTGTGTGTCTGTGTGTCTGTGTGTCTGTGTGGATGGAGGGGTCGTGTGTGGAGGGTCCACCCGAGCAGGTGCAGGCTGATGAAGGGGTCAGATGCCTGGGGGGTCGGGTCAGGCTCACACTCGGTCAAGGCTGGTTGGGAGGGACAGGGTGTGCTGGGGTGGCCCTCCTGTCCCCGATGTTCATTCCGAGCCCTGTCGGTGGATGTCACTGTGTCCCAGGCACAGGTCTATGCATGCTCAGGTCTGTGTCCAATCTGGGAGCCACAGTGGAGAGGGTGGAAGGACACTGAGGATGGCCGGGCACGGCTGTGATGTCTCCGGGATGGCCGCGGGTCACTGTCTTTACAGAAATCAAGCGATGAAATCGGGAAACGTCTGGCCGAATCCCAATACGCCTGCCCTCCAGAGTTGTGCGTGTGCCCCGTCGCCCAGGAGGACCACCCTGGACCGAGGGAGAGAGTGGCTGCAGGGAGGTCTTGGGAAGCAGAGCCTGGAGATGGCCTGGGAAGGCCTCCTTCACCGCCCCGGCCCGCCCACAGGGTCCTGGTTCACGGGTCCTGGGATCAGGACCCGGAGCCCCCGGAGCCAGAGCCCGAGGGTGAGAAGGCTGGGGGTGGGAGATGTGTGTGCATGGGACCAGGGCGGTGCTGGGCCACCCAGGGAGGAGCCCCCGGGGGCTGGTGTGGGGCCAGGAGCAGACTGAGAGGCCGGGCTGCGGACTGCAGGGGGCAGAGGTCCCGGTGTGGGTCCCTGGCCGAGGCTTCTCGGGGAGGCTCTGAGGTGACTTGTGTGTCTGCCAAGGCCCCTGGAGAGGCCGTCGCTGGGTGGGGGGCGGGGGGGAGTCTTCCCTCCTCTCACCCTGAGGCCTTGGAGCCGCTGCAACCACCACTCTGTTTCCTTCTCAAGAGTCCGGGGCAGGAGCAGAAGCCGGTGCGACTCCAGAGCCTGACCCGAGGGCATCCGGGTCCTCGGCGTCTCTGCCGGCAGGGGTGGAGACTGGAGCGACTCCTGCAGGGGCTGGAGAGCCAGCAGGTGACCTGGGACCTGTGCTGGGACAGCGGGCACGTGAACAGAGTCAGCTGGTTCCTGCTTCTGCTCCCGACACCGTTCCTGCCACCGCCCTTGTTCCCGTGTGGATTCCGGCCACAAATCAAGGGCTCAAAGGCCTTCGAGGGGTGTTTCTTGTATTTCTAATTGTTGCTCCGGTCCCAGTCCCCGACCCCTCCACCACAATGACTCTTCCTCTTCTCCCTGATCCTTTCTCTCCTCTACTTTTGAGCTGGTACATTATTGGTTCCTGGTATGTTTCAAATCCACATTAATCTTCACTAAAAATTTATTTCCTTTATGTTGTGCAATTCCTGAGCACAGGGTACGCTCACGAGGCTGTGAACCACGGCCCAGAATTTTGCTGCAGGATATCTCGGTCCCCAAGGGTCACCGTGTACCCGGAGCCCTCACTCCCCATTCGTGCCCCCGCCATCCCCTGGGAACCCCCAGTCTGTTTTCTCTCCGTGTTCCGTTACCTACTCTGGAGGTTTCCTTCAAGTGGAATCTCGCCAGAGATGCCTTTGGGTCTGCACCGACTTTGCAGACGGGACAGATTCATTTGTGTACTTTGTGGCCGTTTGAAATAGACTTTTTTCTCGTTTGATATTGAAATCACAACGGACTGAGGATTAGGTGGGAATATGGAGGCCCCTTCGGTGACAATGGGCACGGTCTCGGGGTGGAGACCCCTGTGCGTGCTGTGACACCACAGCCTGAAGCCAGACAGGACACGGCTGGTCCTCCCGTGGCCCAAACAGAAACCGGGAGATGCAGAAGGCCGGACGGTCAC